GTCAGTTTTACACTTTAAATTCCTAAGGCTGAAGTCATTTATCCACTTCCCAAGCCTGGGCATTTCACATCTGTTGCTGCAAAATTCTGCAGATCTTCTGGTCTTTGGCTGTTAGTAGCTGAAGCCGTCTCCAGCCAATACTGATTTATTTAAGGATGTGGATTATATGCCTCCAGGAAATGGCAACCTCTGGGAAAAATTGCGTCTAATTACTTGCCAACACCTTTTTTTTTTTTTTTTTGCAACACAAGTTTTTTTTGGTCGATTGCTTATGCATTCAAACTGTTTTTTCTTTTACAGCTTGTCTATTTAACCAAGATGGTCATCTCTAGGTTGATGTACATGCAGACCTGCTCTCTTAACATTGTTTATTATGCTTATTCCAAGCTGTAGAGACCTCACAAAAATTTTGCAGGATACTTATTTCTCTAAAAGACAATTAGTGTTTGTTTTCAACAGAATAACCAACACCTTTGAGTCACCGAATACATTTGTTGGATGTTTTATCAGCTAACTATAAACTTTCTTTACGACACCACATAGGATTTGCCTGGCTAGAGTCTCCAAACCTGCACTAGATGTTTGCGGCACAGCCGATGCTGCTCAGTGCTGCAGCTCTAAACCACAAAACAGAGAAGGGTCCTCAGGTCTCTAGGCTGGGCTCCAGGAGGATGCTGGTAAGTAAAATAGCCACAGTCAAAAGAGATAGGCATTGTCAAAGAGAAAACTAAATTTACTGGGGGGGGGGGGGGGGGGAACGGGGGTGCGATTGAACATACATACCGCAAAAATGGGGACAAGTTCGTTTCTAAGCACAGTTTTGCAACACTGAGAAAAACTGAATTAAACATCTCATTAGCTAATCACCTTTATGAGTGCAAAATCAAAGAGATCGCTAGAGGTAGGTGTTGATCCATCTTTCCCACAAATGCTTTTGTAGGGGATTACAGGTAGGGCTTAGAATCTCTCTTTTAAACAAGCTTTATAGGACAGACTTTGACCATACTCCAGACACTGCGGAGATCAAAAAATAATGCTGGACAATCATTTAAAGGCCTCTTCACATAAATTCAATATATCGGAGGAAAAGAGCCAGCACCAAGCCACTGGTCATCTTCACAGCCCTCCTCTGAGCAGCATAAACCACCCAGGGGTCCACGAACCATCCCTTCCTGAGAAGTTCCAATCCACTCTTTAAAAGCACTGTACTACAACATCCTACCTATTTAAAAGCAAATGTACTTCCCACTGTTTGCTCTCTCGGCCTGAACAAAATCCAGCAACATCAGTCTCACCCTAATTTGGTTCTCTCATTCTGAACCCAGTTTCCAAACAGCACAAGATGCTTTAAACTGCCAGTTCCATTTCCCAAGCAGCTTAGTTTTAGACTCTGATACAAATTTTCTTGTCTTTTGAAACTTATTTGGTTCAAAACTCAGATTGTCTCCAGAAGATGAAACCAAACTCCTTAACTTTCTCTGCTAATTAGAAAAAATAGTACAAGTTTGTTTTCAAATAGACCAGAGTCTGGGCTTAAACTGTTTTAGGAAAAAGGATTCAGTAAATTGGAAATGAAATTTAAAACGGATCAGGAAAGAAGGGCCCTAGGAAAGAAGAGGTTTTCTCACATTGGAAAAGCTTGTGCATTTCAAGAGCTTTCTGCCTTGTCATGAAATGAACTGCTTCACTTGGATAATCGATAGCCAAGGGAGGTTGGTTGTTGCCAGTCTCTGCACAATGCGGACCAAGGCTTTCCAAGCAAATTCCTAGCCACACTTGTTTGTTCTTCTAGGTCTTCCAGTCTTCTGGAGGACTCATGACACCTTGTGTAAATATATTTCCTTAAGCACAGAGCAAAGGAACCCATAAATTAGCAGCTCTGGGATCCTCTTGAAGGTTCAAGCCACAACTGCAATCCAACAGCATTGATTGGACACACACTATACCACCATGTGATCCATGCTTTCATTTCCAAGAAAAAGCCAGCTAATCATAAAAGTCCTGATCAATTCCCATTGCATCACCTAGCTGCAAGCATCTTTTTAACTTCAAATAGTCATCAGTCAAGTCAAGCCACACCACCATTAGAGGGAGTCCATGTGAAGACAATTTCAAGCCTCAGCCTACAGTTCTCCCCTAACCATATACACTCAAAACCTCCCCCCACTTTCTTGCATTTACTCATGCACTGCTGCAGAGAAAAGAAAATCAGCTTAAAGCAAGCAGTGTCCAAGAGGGGAGTTTTGCACCAAACAAAACACAGAGGTCAGGAGAGTTTGCCCAGCTGCTCTACCGAGCAGACAGAAGCTTCATTTCACTCCTGAACCCCCTGCTCTTCGAATCTCAGCTCTGTAGCAGCATTCCCACTTTCTCTCCTGTTCCCTTTCAAGTTACACAGTTTATTTCTTCTGCAAGATCCGACTCAGCTTGAGTTTTGGCAGTTCTCACTTCATTCCTGCACTTCCTGACCCATAAGACACAGCTTGCTTGTCTTATTAGTGTTTCTTTCCCACCCTCCCAATCCTGGCAGGCTTATTTCTAAGTTCCTTCTGGAGCTAGCTGTGCACTCACTTTAGTCTGGAGCCTGTTTTTCAAGGAGTGGTATTCTGACAGTGTTTTGGAGTTAGAAAAACAAATCAACCAACAAAAGAATAGAACCTTAGTCTACTCCTTGAAACTTTCTAGTTCAGCTAATTTTACTAACCAGTTAAGCACAGCCTAGCCCTTTGCTTCAAGGACCCTTCAGTAATGTAAACGCTCCGTCTCAGCTTACTCTCTACAACCAACTCTTTGTAATGATGTTGGTACCTAGTGAAGGTAAGTTTGAACTGGCACTGTAGGGGCAGTGACTGTCTGAAGAAGAAAGGTCTTGTCTATAACATATCCAGGTACTTCTTATTTCTTTGACTTGCAGCATCTCTTCTCCAGGTTGTATCTGGAAATTAAGCCTCATCCTTCGCAAGTATTCTTAGTTTTGTTTTTACTGCCCACAGCCTGTAGCTCAAGCAAATCAGGCACAGTCCTTGCACCCCTGTATACTCCTGTACTTGTCAGTGCTTTCCTCTTTCTTCCCGTCTTTCATTCACTGACATTTCCTCAGTTGTTTCTACGGCCTCTCTCAACCCTAGAAACGATGAGAAGGTGAAAAGCCCCTCAAGTATCCACATGTTCCTCAATTAAACTGCTCTGACCAGCTGTACAAGCCTCAGTGCCAGAAGCTTGTTTCCCAGATACTCTGCTGGAGTCCATCTGTCAAGAAGAGTCCTTTTCCTACGAATTCTCTGAGCTAGCAACCTCCCCTCCTCTCTTTCCTCTCCCTCTTGCAAAGACCAAACATTTCAGACATGTTTTTATCTAATCACGTATCCCTTGCCAGGACTCAGGGCACTGACTGCCTGAGCCTCCATATCTTTGAGCAGCTTCCCCAGCACAGAATATTGTTTTTGGTTCAGTGGGAGCCTTGTAGCATCATTTCTCTTAATCAACAGCAAGTACCTTCCTAGTCCTTCAGGCTCCTTTCCAATGTCACGTTCACGTTTCCAATCTGCATTCCTGGTAGATAGTGCGTTTGGTCGAATCTACCCTGGCAAAGGGCCTGTTGATTCTTAATGCGCGGTCTTCAGGCCCACTTACCTCTTATTGATGTTGGGGTAAATCCATAGCCCTTTCCTCTGGTTTTTGCCTTGCCGTTATTATGAATAATTTAGGGTAGAAATTAAAATGTTCACTTCCAAAAGATCAGTCAGGCTAGAAAAAGCTCCTCAGTGTAAGTAGTGAAGGCAAACCCTGATTTTCTTTTTACTTTCTGAACACAACTTCCTGTATTTATGGAAGCAATGATGTGAGACACTGCCCAGGACAGCAATGAACTGGAGCTGATGAAGCCTGTGATTCCTTTTTGCCCTACTGCCCTCATGTGAATACTGTAGATGATTACAGTATCGCCTCCACCCTTTACACTTACCCTGAGGATTTGTATAGCAGCTGCAATCTCTCCAGCCTTCATTTCACAAGACTGACCAAGCCTAGCTCTTTCCACCTCCTCTTCCCCATCACCTCAGGTTTTACTTGCTCCCTCCTACAGCTTTTCTACATGTGCCTGCAGAACCACCATGGAAGTGAGGTGACCATACACAAAGGAAAAACTCCTCCCATTACTGACCTGAAGAACTTTAGACGTCACCTTTCAGGGATGGAGTACAGGGTTTAAGAGAGTATCCTTTAAGGACACTGTCTGTGAATTGAGGAAGTGCATTTGTTTCATAGCCCTAAACAGCACCTCGTAACGATCTTACACACAGCCTGTCCAGAAACTCCCCATTTCATGCTTCCACAGGCTTTTAAAACACTGTGGATGGAAGGGAAAAGGTCTAAAAGGCAAATCAAAAGCTTGGAAGCATACAAAACGTGCTTTCCTTTTGAGAGCAAGTCAACTTCAGGGAAAAGTAGGTGTGAAGGCGCAGGACCCAGACCACAGCTTAACAGGAGTTTCAGAAAAGAAGAGTTCAAGGAAAAGTTTTCTCACATTTTTTCTTTGCCAGCGCTCCCTAGCTTTTATTAAAAGATTTGCAGCTGATCAGTGAAGCACATGGTGAACCTAAATTTTTGATCAAGATGCAGGAAAACAAAACTGAGATAGGGCATCACAGGCTGCTGCAATAGACATTCTCACCCTGTCAGGTGAGAAGGAAACAGGCCCAGGCTTTGCTTGGAGCTCAGCAGCAGCAGGCAGCATGCATGACTTCTGGGAGCAAACGCACCCTGGTGTTCTGTCACTGGCCTTTGCAGTCCAAGAGCTGGTGGCGAGAACAGGCTTTAAGGACCATCCCCATCCCTGGCCAGAGGGTACCACCACAACACAGCCTCAGAATGGAAACGAGAGAGAGACAGCATCAGTTTACTGATCTCTGAGGGGAAAAGACAGCTACTATTGCAGAAGGGCCTCTCAACACATACTTAATTCAGGTAACTTCAGTACAAGAATCACATAACCAGATGTAAAAATCTTCAAATGTAATTTATTAAGACATTCAGCTATGTCTGTCTGTCTACATCCAAATTTACTACTAAAAATAAAATAGTATCACATTTCACATTAGGAATACCGACTTTGAAAAACACTTGAGTCAAGCCTATCGTATAAATAAGTGACTAATTTCTCTTCATATCAAAATTCACATAAAAAAATTGCCTGCCCCCCTACTCCCACTTATTCCCCCACCCCAGTCCCTAGTTCTACTTGAAGCCATGATGAATGTAAAAATTTAAGTATGGACATGTCCTTGTCAAAGAAAGAAAGGTGCAAACCTATTAACAGCTTTAAAAGTGGCATTTGCGGAGTCTGATCATACACAATAATGTACTCATTCCCAAAGTGCAAATATCGCCAGAGTTTAATACTGTTTTAATTCAGCTGCAAGAATTAAACGTTACACAGGACAGTACTGCAAGGCCACTATCTGTGCCCTAAAACTCATCCCACTTTCCTCCTGCACATGGTAGCAGAGGCCAAAGTGTTCATCAGAGCTTTAGTTTACTTCACACAGCCCAGACTGTGCCCAATATATTAACAAAAGTTTCATATACATCAAAATATTGAAGACTCCGTCATAAAAGTCAAGAGTCACTATAGATTACATGAATTCAAATGCAATTGCCCCACCAAAAACACCCAAAGCATACACATGACGTATTAAGAGTGCTTCCATCTTCCAGTACAAATCACTGCTGTTACATCTTCGATTTTCGCTTCCATGCCACATAGTTTTATCAGTAACCATAGCTGCACCTCAGTCAAAGACTAGCAGGCTACTGCACTTAACACCTCTCTGGTACCCTGGGACATGGCTGTATTTGACACCCTCTTCCTACCCTAAACAAAAGCTAGTGTTCTCTCCATCCGTCTACAACCTCTCACAGACCTCCTGCTCCTCTTACCCCTCACCTACGTCTTGAAAACACTCTTTTGCTTTAGTTGATTTCCAGACATCCTTCCTATGCCCACAGTTCAGAGAGCTTCTGGAGTCACTTATACTGTATCTCACTGGAGTTACCACTATCAAGCAGCCCACAAAAATCAGCATGGGATATTACATTTTGACCAGCATTAATAGCTATAAACTTCCTTCACAGCTGTGGAAGGAGAGGATTTCTTCTGAGTCAAACTTGCATCTCCGAAATGCGTTCGTCCCTGTGTCATCCTTTGTCACTTCAGAGCTGGACACAAACCCTCGGGTCTCGAGCGGGGCACCCCTCTAGGGGTGCAATTAGTTCTGCAGCAAAAGCTGTTCCCTGGCTGGCTTCACATGGGCTTGTGTCACAGTCCACGCTTGGAGAACCCTCAGTCTCAGCAGAGGCCTCCTGGCTGTCCTGTTCATCAGCAACTTGTTGGTTACTCTTGCTAGGGCTGTCTTTTGTATTTGGCCCATTGTCATGTTCAACACCAGGGGGCTCAACCGCATCTCCAGGACTGGTGTTTTGCTCTGCACCAGGATTTGGCTGCTGAACTGGCTCTGGCCCCAGTCCTGGTAGCTGTGAAGGGTTCTTAAGTTGGCAGTGGCACAGAGGGCAGGTTTCTTGCACATAGAGCCATTTCTTAAGACAACCCGCATGGAAAAAATGGCTACATGGTGTGATTACTGCAGATTTCATGTCCTGAAAGACACAAAACAGAAAGATCATATTATTTGCTACCCCATTCCTCTCATCGCAGACTACCCCATACATGCCCTGCCTCACCTAAAGGGATTAATAGCCACAGAGGAGACAAAAGCAGTTCACAGGCAAGTGGGAGAATATTTCTTCCTTCGTACCCACAAGCCTCCACATCCAAACACACACACAAATCAAGTACATGCCAGGCCTGGCTGTTTATACTACAGAGATTAGAAGTTAGGCAAAAGCTTTGAAAGTAATAATAATACCCTGTAAACAAATAAAAGCTTTCATAGGATGAGAGTTGGCACACAGAATTAGTTGGCATAAAACACAGTTGTGCAAGTCACAACCAGCACACTTGCAGATGCAACATGTGACAACAGCAAACCAGAACCGAAATGACACCCTAACCCAGAAAGCTCAGATCCACACGTTAGAAGTTTGGTGTATTAAATATCGCCATTGTATTGATTCAGCCATTTGGGAAGGGTATTTTTCAAAGACTTTGTATCAAGTTTGGAGTTAATCCAATTACTGCACGGTATTAGTCCCAGAGTGGTTCTTTCATTCATAGCTACTATGATTTCTATCCGAGAAAGGATAGCTAGAGGTGCGATAAAGATATTGCTTTTAGCATTAATTTCTAATGTCCTTACTTTTGCTAGCTTACACGAGACTCTTAACCTTTTGATAATTAGGTTCCTGTTATAAAAAAAAATGACATTGTGCACAAAGTGGAAGTGGCAGTGTCTATAGAGACCGAGTTGCTTCCAAGGCAGAATGACAGATCAGCTACTGAGCACTCACTGTCTTTCAGTAACAGAATCCTCCACTAATGAAGGAAGGGCACATTTGCTATTACTACTGAGACCAGTTCAACCTAAATGCATTAAAGGTTTCAAAAAAACTCAAGGGCTGTTTAACTGGAGGAAAAAAATATGAAAGTTTTAAGTATATCCAAATGATCTTTTTATTCATCAAACCACTCTCTCAATGCCAGCCCCCGAAGTCAAGTTACATAAAGCAGAAAGCTGGATAATGAAAGTAACTTATTAAGCACAATACTACTTTTTAAGCACTAACTGAAGCAACTTAATTTAGCAGTTGCAGACTGAACTTGAGAAAGAGTCCCGAGCTATGTACATTCAAGTCAGCTCTTTGATAGTTCTATTCTTACCTGGTAGCAGATGGCACAGATATCATTGTGTTGCTCCAGCTGCTCTTTTGTGGCAGTGGGCAGTGATTTGATCTTATTCACAGCATCTCTGCGGAGAAGGAAACTTTTCCATCCCAGCTGGGCACGCAACCACACGTTATAATAGGAGTGAATGAAAATGATCACAGAACCCATCACAGTCCATTCACCAAAGATAGTTTCCGAGACACCGTATGCCACCACACAGAGAGCGACAAGGAATTCCAGCAGCCGGTATGTGCCATTTACATAATAAATCACATCATCCATATTTTCTACTGGCTCTTTTCTGAACTCCTCCACCATAAACAAAACATAAATGAAGAGCGTCCCAAGCACCTGTAACAGAGGACACCATCAGCTCAACATTCGATTCTGAACTGGAGCTCAAGTTACTCAACATCTTCCACAGAGCTCTACACAATGTTCACCAATTACACAGCAAGCAGGTGAGCAAAATTGTTGCTGACCTTCAAGCCAAAGAAAAGTCACTCTTTCTTGCAAGGCATTTGAGCTTGCTCCCAAGTACTTCCCCCTCTAAGTACTTTGCTGAACAGCTGAGTTGATTAAACAGAAGCACTGAGCATCAGGAGGAGGAGGGATTTTATAAATTAATAAGAGCAAGTAATAACAAATACTTTACAAAAATAAATAACATAAATAACATTTCCTGTGTTTACATTACTGTATTTTGAACATCAAATTACTTTCAAAGAACCATGGCTAAGTAACAACACAAATGAGCAGTTTGGGGGGGGGGCGGGGGGGGGAACCACACACTATTACTGTGAAAAATTAATTATGCCCTGAAAAGGCCCTCTGGCTTTACAGTTAGAAATACACTTCCATTCACCTAAGCTCTCGCCCCTCCTTAGGAGCTCCTCTGTCATAGATACAGAAAAATAAAGAGTTTTTTAGATCCTATCTTGCATTTCTGCCCTTCTATACTCCCTTGTTCTTTTAGGGCCGTGTATTTTTCTCCCTAGAGCAACGGTATAACAGTTAATACAGGGGTAACATTCTTACCTGAAGAGAGGTCAGAATACTGCTGGAGATAATGATCAACAGCCAGAAATCCATGTGGAAAAACTGACAAATCATATAGGCCATGTACGCAGGGAACACCAGTAAGAACAAACAGAGGCTGACCGCTCGGAAGTGCTTCCACAGACTCCTGCGAACAACACAGTAGGTTTTTGCTTTTAAGTCAGATTTGAGCGTCAGAGTAAGAACAGGCTGCAGTTTATCAGGGCAGACTGGCGGAAGAAGGTATGTTAGATCTTTGCTCAAGGCTTTAACGTATTGGAAGGAGTTTCTATTCTACCTGGGCACGGTCTAATTTGCAGTATGCCTCCCTATAACACATGCATTCTGAAACGTTCCCTCTTTTCTGACCTTCACCATTTTCAACACAAATACAAAGATTATAGGCAAAAATTCAGCTATAGTAATTGTCATAAGGGGTCAAGTCAGTGATTAGACAAATTAGGCGCCTAAGATACTGTATGTTTCAGACAAAAGCCAGTTAAACTTGAGAATTAAATACGTATTTGATTGTTTATGCACTTTCCTATATAAACAGGGATCTCCCAGATTATATACTTATAGCTGTTCTATGACTTTTGCCAATATGCACTGGACAAAAGTATTCCCTTCTATCACCAGGTTCAACCCTGTTGTGTTTCAAAACGTGCCCCTTCTCTTTTATCATGAGAAAAGAAACGTAGCACGCCTTGAACATTCATCTCTGCCAGTCCTTATTCTGCTCCTCTCTCTCATTCACTTCTTAATCTCCTCCCCAGCCTAACTAGACCATCAATCTTTTTTACACTCACCAATTTGCACAGGCTTTTAGAGTGTCTCCAGTAATTTACTATACCACCTCTACATGTTCCTCAGGTTGTATTTTAACCTCAGTTAGCGAAACTGACAGTAACAGTGGAGGTGGGCAGCAAGGCAGAGGGACAACAGAAACTGGCTAATATAGTCTGAAGAAATATCAGAACACTATTGTGAGGGTTGCAATTCAGTGTATTTATGGGGTGAGGAGAAAGGGAGAGCGGAGGCAGAATTTATCACGACCCTTGATGGCATCAACTGCCTAGGAAATTTGACAGAAGAGCTGAAACTTGCTGTCACCACAAACTGCTCATCTGAGCTGGGCAGACATCCTG